TTTTAAATTAAAAATAAAAAAATTAGGAAATATAATAAATTAACTATTATATTTGTCATTTTAAAAAAAATTAATAGAATTTTATTAATAAAAATAATTGCTAATTTTGAAAAATAATTTCCATTGTTTATTAAACATTTTCACCCAACTTTACCTAAAAAGATTTATTCGTTATTCGATTCGTATTTTAAGAATAGCAAAACTATAATTCGAATCGAATACGAATAATTAAAATATATTATTCGTCGAATAATTTTTTATCATTATTCGATCAAATTGATCGCCGGGGTGGCCTAGTGGGTTATGATGTATGCTTGGAAACAGAAGGTCCCAGGTTCAATCCTGGTAAGGAAAGTAAAAATTTTCAGGTTTTTCTTCGATGACTGATGTATAAAAACATATGGTAAGATGAATTTCGGAGCTTAGAGATGACACCCCGGTCACCGACAGGCTTGAAGAGCCGGGTGCTAAGGATACTTGTCCAATAAACAAAAATGAAGGAAACAAAAGAAAATATGAATATGAAAGCTAGGGCGTTCCCTCCAAGCGATGCGCAGGGTATAGACCTCCATCCTGTGAAAAGTAAAATAAAGGTCAAAGCAAAGTAGACAAGGTTAGCAAGTTTGAATATTGGTACACTTAAAGGTAAGACGAGAGAATTGGCATCAATGTTGAACAAGAGAAAAGTTAATATAGCGTGCATAAGAGACGAAAAAAGGTCAGATGACTTTAATGATTGGAGATGTGTATAAATTGTACTATAATGGAATTGTTAGCAATAGGAACGGTGTTGGCATCATCCTCAGTCATGATCTAACCTCCTCAGTGGCAGAAGTCAACAGGATATCTGATAGACTAATGAAAATAAAATTCTGCATTGGTCAATCAATACTACACATTCTTTCAGTATATGCTCCTCAAACGGGTTGCAAAGAAGAAGAGAAAGATGACTTTAGAGCTATCCTTGATGAAGCTGTAATGGAAATCCCTAAGGATGATCTAGTCATCCTAGGTAGATATTTAAATGCGCATGTGGGAAAAGCAAGAGACAGCTACAAAAGGCATCATGGTGGTTTGGATATGGAGAAAGAAATGATGAAGGAGAGCCTGAAATTTGTGGAAGCCTTGACCTTGCCTTAACCAACACATATTGTAGGAAAAAAGACAGTCATAATTACATATGAAAGGGGTACAAGGAAAACCCAGATAGATTACATGCTAATCTCTCGTAGAAGATTGAAAGATGGAATAGACTGCAAAGTCATCCCAGGAGAAGATATTGCCGCGCAACACAAGCTACTAGTCATGGATTTAAATATACAAATATATCCACTCAAAACAAGATAAAACTCAGAGACCTGCAGGCCCGGCTAAGCCCAGTCCGGCATTTTAAATTTTTAAAATATGAGCGGACCGGGCTTGAACATTTTTTTTAGAAAACCCGGGCCAGCATAGGCTTTAAAATTTTTTTTTAAATAACCTGGCCGGGCCGTATTTTTTTAAAAAATTTATACAACATAAATTATTATATTCGTCAATTAGATGGTTATAATGATTATATATAGTTATGATTAATATAATGTTTGGTGAAAGTTAACACTAACACTCATTGTATCTATTACATAATATAATTATAGTTTTCCTACCATGGAATAAATACGCAAAGGATTAAATACATTATATATTTTTTATTAATTAAAATATCAGTTTTATTTTTTTTATATTAATATAGTATTATTTACACAAATTTTTTATAGTATCAATTTGTAATATACTAAATATCTGTTTAGAATAAAAAAAATATGTAGTAGTGTTGTTAAACGGCTCGTTTTGAGCCGATTTTTAAAAACGGTTAACTCAGTTTTTTATCCAGAAAAATATTATGCAAGCCTGAAAATTTTGCTCATAGAATAGTATCGAAATTTCGAGGCTTAGTCAATATTTTTCTGGCGAGAATATTGAGTTAACCGTTTTTAAAAATCGGCTCAGAACGAGCCATTTAACAACATTAGCTAATATGCTTGCTTATTAAATGATAATACTCGCCGGAAAATATGATAAAATACCAAATAGATGAATTTTTTGTATACACCAGGTCGAATATATATTTAAAAATTCCGAGCCGGGCTTTAAAAAATTTTTTTTTAAAGTCTAGGCCGGGCCTGGCTATAAATATCCAGATAAATAGACACTGCCAAATCGACAATAGGCTTGACAAGGGGAGGCAACAAGTCAAAGAACTATGGTGGTGGAATGAAGAGGTACAAACCACTATACAGAAAAAAAAACCTATAAAAAATAAGGTACAAATCCAAAAATCCTGATAACAAGACAAATTACAAAAAATCCAAGAGAATGGCTATAACGGAGGTGGCTAGGGCCAAAGCTATGGCATACGATGACATGTATGAAGAACTACATGATAAAGAAGGGCAAAATAAAATATACAGAATTGCCAAACAGCGAGAAAAAAATTCTAGGGATATAAACGGAGCTACGAAAGTAATCAAAAATAAAGATGGGAAATTGATAATAAAGGAAAAAGAAATAATGAATAGATGGAAAGAATATTTTCATGAGCTTCTCAACTTTAATCCCCACATACTACATCTAGATGAACACTCCCCATGGTCAAAACCTTATACAACAAATAACAGAACAAGAAATAATCACATGCCTCAAGCATATGAAAAACAACAAAGCTAGGGGTCCAAATGATATTCCAATAGAAAACCTTAAAGCACTTGATGATGGAATACATCTTCTCACAAATCTGTAAAATAAAATACTGGGAAATAAAGAGATTCCTCAAAAATGGAGGCAGAGCTATCTAGTTCCTATCTTCAAAAATAGAAAGGATCCACACAATAGTCAAAATTACAGTGGCATAAAACTAATGGCACACTGTCTTAAACTTTACGAAAAAATAATAGAAAAAAAGGTTAAGAGACATAATCAAAATAGGAGAGACTCAGTTTGGCTTTATGCCTGGAAGATCAACGACTGATGCAATCCACACAATTAGGAAATGAGCGAAAAATACAGGAAAAAGAACAAAAAGCTACACATGGTCTTTCTCGATCTAGAAAAGGCCTTTGATAGAATCCCAAGAAAACTTAGGTGAGGGCTAAGCCACAAAAAGGTTCTTGAAAAATATATAAGAATAATACAGAATATGTATATGGGCCATACAACAATGGTCCGTAGCACAACTGGTACTTCAACAGTCACAATAGCCGAGGAAGTTCATCAAGGGTCGGCTCTCAGCCCACTTCTCTTCATAATAGTAATAGATGTATTAGCACCGTTTTACCACAAACAGTCCCGTGGAATATGATATTTGCAGATGATATTGTGATACTTGCCGAATCCAAGGATAAAATAAAAGAAAGATTAGTGAGTTGGATAATAAATATCCTAGACGGACTAAAAGTAAATAGAGAAAAGAGGGAGTATATGGTGATAGGAGATGAAACAGAGAGCATTGATATAAATGAATAGCAAATATCGGCAATTGAAAGCTGCAAATATTTGGGCTCCATTATACAAACAAAAGGCACAATAGAGAAAGAGATGAAGAGTAAAATTAATCAAGTAGTTAAATTGGAGATCTTTATCTGAACTGCTCTTTGACAAAAGAATCCCACACAAATTGAAGGGTGGAATTTACAGTTCCATAGTATAACCAACTATCTATATAGTTCGGAAACATGGCCAACCAAAGAATCAGACGAGATAAGTCTACAAACTATGGAGATAGAATGCTTAGGATGATTGCTGGGGTAACAAGAAAGGATAAGGTGCATAGTACAAGAATACTAGAAAATTTAGGTAGTGCCTTTTAAGACTAAAATAATGGTAAACAGATTTAGGTGGTATAGGCACACAATGAGAAGGCCTATGAACTACATAGGAAATAAGGTTGAGAGTTTGGAAGTAATGAGCAAATGTAAAATAGGAAGGCCAAAACTTCAATGGGGCCATAAAGTTAGAGCCAATATGAAGAAGTATAAATTAGATATAAGAGATAGTATGAATAACATAAAATGGAGAGAGATATTGAAGGAGCTTACCACCAGAAATAGTGAAAGCTAAAGAGAAAAAAAATTATTCAATCAATGTAATTTTCCAGAGTTTGAAAAAAAATCTTTTAAGCAAAAATCTTTGAATATATTTTTAAAGAAGAAAGATTTTTGATCAAATTTTACCTAACCAAATATGTTTAAAATAAAATCTTTTATAAGTAAACCTTTTATATTTTTCATGCATAGGAAATCTATTAAATCTTTTTAAAAAAAAATTCAAAAATTCATTCAAAAAATTTTAAGATTCATTTATACTTTGGTTTGTTAATTTTTGGAAATATTTAATTTTCAAATCGAATATTCGACTTAAATTGAATAATGTTTTTATTATTCGTACGAATACAAATAAGGAATTATTACACCCAGCCATTACCGAAATATTTAATAATATTTGGCTGCATTGTTTTTTTTTTCGTTTTTTAAATATATTTTTCGTTGAAAAAAAAATTTTTTTCCCATTCCTAATTAGTATTTAAAAATAATTGTACGAATAATATTTGAATATTTCTTTAGTATTCAAATGATATTCATAATATTAAAATGAGTAATCGAATATTTGTTAGGAGCACTGGGTATAATTATATGACCATACATATTTTAAAAAAGTACGATACTGAATAAAAGATATTAAATGTGTATTAAAAATACAATTAGATTAGTGATATCGAATTGGTAATGAACTAATATCAATTTGATATTGTTATATCCAATTGTACTCTTAATGGCTTTAGTACATATTTATAATATAATAATAATATAAAGACGTTTGTAAAGAAATAAATATACTTATTATATGAAATAAAAATGGAATGATTGAATAAACAGAAAAAAAGTATGATTCAAATTCATGTAATAGTGGACAGTGTAAATATGTACACGAAAATTATCTAAACTAAAAAACGATGAAGTAAATACTTGAGAATCTAGAATGTCATCTAAGATATCATCTTGGCCAAAAAATTTTGATGTGGAACTGGAAAACGATTCGATTTTAGAGAGGGGAGTGATGAGTTTGATATTGAGAGTTCTATTGTATTCCACGAGTGAATGTTCCTTGTAAAAATTTATCAAATCCCTGACACTATTGAAATTTAGAGGTTTTGCAAAACCAAATTTATTTGTTTCTGCATCTCGATAAATTTTTATCAATTTATTTGTTCCATCTTTCCTTAAAAAAAATATTTATTTTGTTAATTTGCAATATTTATTAAATAAGAAACAAATTTTATTTACACTAGCTTAACTAATTAATGTCTTATTATTTTTCGATATACTAGAGTAAAAGAATGAATATTTTATTCATGGGCTTAAATCATAGGATTAAGGGAGAGGTTTAGGGTATGAGACACCCCAAATTTTTTTACATTGTTACAGTGAAACGAGTGTCATTATAAAATATAAATAAAAGGGGCAAACAAAGTAAGATTTTATTTTAATTTAATACATAAATATGGATAAGTAATAAGTGAAGATAAAACGTCATATTTTTAAAATAAAAAAATGTGTTAAAATATTGAACTTTAGATGAAATTTAATCAATATCTTACTTGAGCATTCTCAAAAATAAAAATAAAATTCCGTTTTACAAATTATATATTTACAACATAATTTCTTTTTATTATTTAAACATGAAGTTTAATCTTAATTAATTGCTTGTCCATATTTAATTTCAATATATTAAATTAAATAAAATCTTACCTTGTTTACTCCCTTTTATTGTATATTTAATAATGACACTCATTTAACTGTATTAAATAAAAAAAACTATCAATATTTTGACCTATAGTTTCCTATTTAATGTTAAGCTATGTATCTGTAAAATTTTATGGATTTAATGAACAATTTTTAAAACATCTTTTGGAGACTAACACACATTTTAACTCTATTTTTTTTTAAAAAAAAATTTATGATTTATGCTTTATAAGACAAATTTACTTTCCTCTGGACTTATTTTTGTTTGCAAATTTAATTAATAGATTATACAGTAGACAAATAAATCACTATTTGGAAAATTAGCTCCTATATCAAGTGTTCAAAATAAAAAATTTTGATTGTTATGTTATTATATATTTTTTATATATTTAACATAAATCTTTATTTTTAATAAAAAAATTAAAAAACTAGTTTTTATTATAGACATAACCTAGGGGTGGGAAATTTCCCAACCTTGTCTCATAAATATCATTTTAAGCTAATTTCCCTTATATACCCCAAGATCCTAAAAAATTAATATAATACATCACTTTAAACAAAAATTTAAAAGAAAAATAAGTAAAAGTTAATCATTTTTATAAGTATGAATATAATTGAAAATTTTTAGAAAAAAAAGCATTTTAATAAAAAAAGTGAAAACCTAAAATTATTTTTTAAAAAAATATAACATATGGACTTAAATTCCTAAGAGGAAATTCTGGATATGGTTATGATAGTAACTTATATTTTTTTAAATAATGTTCCTTACTTCTGTTGCATTTTGCATAATTTACATAAATATATAATCAAACCAAATTTAATGAATAATATAATACTATTTATAATGATCAAACTTCAAAGTTAATGTATATTCTCCTCCTTTGTCCTTTGAGTTAAGTGAATCTCTAACTAAAAAGGTGCCATCCGGTTTACCTTGAAGTAACTCATCAGTAAATTCTCGACTAATATTATCCCAGTACCATTCAGCTCCCTGAATTGATTCTTCTAATAAAATTACATAAAAAATTCAAAATATAATTAATAAATTTAATATATTGATAATATAACCAAATCTCACCTTCTTTTATGGACTTATGAATATTGCTAGGTGAAATATTATTTATGCTAGAGTTTATATCTTCCCCGTGACATAAGGTTTGTAATTTTTGTACTAAAAATATTAAAAAATTATCTTAATTATTAATATATTATGAAAATTTTCATACTTGGGGAGCCTATATAACCTGAATCATTATTAATAGAATAAGTAATATTTACATCTTGATTTGTATTATTGATATCTCTTTTCATAATTATATATACTAATTACAAAAAAAACAATGTCACACATTGAAGCTTTGATTTAATACAATACAATTTCAAAACACAACTCAAATAACAATACCATCTGTACTTCAGAAAATTTTAAAAATTGAAATCAAACACATCACTTAACAATAAATAATGACATGATTGGTTATCAATAATATGATTTTTAAGAATAATGATAATTCCCGTCAAATCCATTGATTATTACTTATAAAATACATAACAGGTCTATAAACTTTTCTACTTGAATATCATCTATGGCATAGATGATTAGAAAGTTGATTCAAGCCCACTAAAGCCCTTCTTTGATTCCAAGCGAAACCAGCTTTTTAGGGCATGATTTAAATATGAATCCCCACAAAGTTAGGAATTCTCTATGAAGCAAGCTTATAATATATAAAAATTTTGTGTATTCTTGTTCAACTCTTCATTATGATTTAGGAAATGTTTTTTTTTAATTTAAAAAACAGATAACTTAGTATAAAAAGAAAAAGCATTATATTTTCGTGTGTAAAATATGTTTCTAAGAATTAATTATAAATAAGATTCAAGTTTATTTCTTTAATGTGATTCAGAAAATATAAAAATAAAAATAATTTAAAAAATTAATATTAAATTAATAGGATATGGAAAAACACTATTTTATTACTAAAATAAGAAACCCTTATTAAAAAGCCTCAAATATAAAAAATAAAATAAGAATCATATAAAACTCTTCAAGAGAATTCGGAAATAATTAATAATTTTCTTAAAAATTTAAAATATTGTAAATAAATTTTTGATTAAAATAAGATCCTTAAGAATCTTCTATTAACCTTTTAATACTCTGGTGAAAAAAATGACGTTAGTATTCAAAACGGGTAAATGGACCCCAATTTCAAATGTATATATCTTTAGTTATATTCATTATTTTTATTTAATATTTGGATATAAATTAGAACTAACCTTAAGCTTGATACAATATTTATTTATTTTTATTTCTTAAGCTTATAAAGATGATGAGGATAATTATAATTTGTGTCAAAATTTTCTAAAAAAAAGCTTATTTTTTTTAAATTTCAAATATTAAATTAAAAAATAACTTATCTATCATATAATCATGATGATTCATAATATGGATCTTTATTCTTCAATATAAAAAAAATTACACTAATACATTCAAATATAAAAAAAAATAGAATATTGAAGTATGTTAAATTTGACATGCAAAACATTTATTACATAAAATATTAATGTGTTCTAAACATAAATTTATTTTACATATTTGAGAAAAAATATTTAGTTTTTTTATTTTGATGTTTATATTTAAATATTCCAGCGAAATAAAGATTTCCCAATAATGTCTTGAATTTCAACTTCTTTAGTACAACTTTCATATTGGTCATAGTTTTTACATATCATTTTAATTTTTTTATTGGTATGTTAAATAATCTCATCAATCATTTTTGGTGTTATGGACAAGTCAAAACATTTTTCTGAAGTGTCAACTTCTTTCCATTATTCTTTTACTCCTGGCAGATGAATAACTTAATTTTGTTGATGAGTTCTTATTCTTTGACTAGGAAGATCCTTTTTCCATTTAGTAAACTTATTTTTTTAGCTAATTTTAAAGAGAAATATACCATGATAAATGATTTAATATTTATTTAAATAATATTAAGTTTATTGTCTTCAACTAATATTTCTTCTTCATCTAATTCAGATTGTCTATCATGATAACTATCATATATAAAATCTTCATTCTCACTATTAATTATATTGTCATAATCACCTCAAATAAAATGATATTACATCTTAAATAATTATATTAGTTTCAGAATCTGCAAAAATCATTATATGATAAATATAATTTGAAAAATGAGTCAGCTGGTGTAAAATAATAAAAAAAATATCTCCACCATAGATAATCTTTCACTTTTCTTTTTCATATATCTCATTCAAAATATAAGATGTTTAAATTTTGTTTTAATAAATTTTTAATATAGTAGTATATATTTATAATTTTAAAAAATTTTTAGAAAAAATTTTTTTAAAAATTACAAATTTACTCAGGTGGGGTCTCACAAACCCCAATCAGTCACAAAATGCTTATATCTTTAAAACTACTCAACCAAATTATATAAAATTTGGAATATAGATTCTAAAATATATTTGATGAAGCTACTGAGGAATCCAGATCATTATTTAACCGTTTTTATGTAATATCATTTCTAGCATGCCTGGGGTTTCATATACCGCACCAGAGTATTGAAGGGTTAAAAAGCCTCAAATTTAAAATATTAAATCGTGTATAACTATTGAAGAGGATTCAGAAAATGTTGATATTAAAATTTTTTAACTAAAATAAGAATCCCTTGAGAATCCTCTATTAAAAAGCTTCAAATTTAAAAAATAAAATAGGGAACATGTTAATATTCATATTTTTAAAAAAAATCTTTAAATATTGAAGAAATTTATTTTGACTAAACTAAGAATCCCTAAGATTTTCTTATTAAAAAGGCTCAAATTTTAAAAAATAAATATAGAAACATGTATAACTCTTCAAGAAGATTCAGGAAATGTTAATATTTATATTTTTTTAAATATATAAAAAATTAATTTTTTAGCCAAACTAATAATCCCCTACGGATAAACTTTGAAAATAAATATAGAATCATGTATAACTCTTCCAGAGGATTCAGAAAATTAATATTTTTTTAATTTAAATATCAAAAAAATTATTTGATTAAACTAAAAATCCCTAAAAATTATTAATCGGTTTAATTTTTCAAGTTTAGCCCCGCTCTAAATTTTTTTTAAAAAAAAATTCCGCCCGACTCAATCCAAATATATTTTTATTTGACCCTAAAGTTTTCTAGGTTTACTGGTAATAGGTATAACAAATTTAGAGGATTTTATTTATCAATTCAAATTACAATCATATAGCAAATTTAAAATTTTATTTAAAAATTATTTTTTACTAAAAATGTAATATATTTTCATGCTTATATAGCTGTAAAAAGCAATTTTAATATTTACATAAACGAAAAATCCATTTAATAATTTACATAAACGAAAAATCAATTTAATAATTTATATAAACGAAAAATCAATTTTAGTTGAGTTAATAACGAAAAATATATATAAACAATTAATCAAGTCATCTCAAATTCCACCCTTTAAGAAATGAACTCCACTCAGGTTCTTCTTATATGTGAATCTTATAAGTTTATGATATAAACTTGATATCGCGCAGGCAACGTTTTATTTATATTTGGCCTCTAAACGTCAGCTAGAAAGTCATTATCTTGATCGATGACATTTCACGTTTTCGCCCTCTGTCTAACATCTTATCGTTTGTCTTTCTTACCGGTTTCTTCATCATTTATTGTTCGTTTGTCCTTTGTTGAACTTGATAGTTATATAGTCATCATTAGTATATTTCATTAGCTTTAGCTATTGAAAGTTTATTTAAAGGAAAAATATTTTATTATTTATTATTTATATTTTTTTTTTAATGTATATATTTTGTTTAGTCTTTTTTTTACATTCATTATAATTGGGCAAAATTATATTTCTGCTTGGTCTTTAACTAATAAGACTCTGTTTTTGTATTTCTATACTTTGTTCATCACTTCTTCTAAAACTTAGAGTAAAAGGTATTGTATTATCAGTATTTGTTTTCAAATGTGTCGTTTCATTATTAAGAGGTATGATACTTGTTGACCTTTTTTTGATTTGGTCTAAATGTCTTTTAATAATTCTGTTTCCAGTATCTACTTCATATAATAAATTCCCATTTTTGTGTTTTACCGTGCCTCTGTCCCATATATTATCCTTGAAAGTTTTATATCAAACTTTGTCACCATTCATGATATTTCTACTTGACGATATATTACGATTAAATTCATTCACTTATCTTCTTGTGGTTTTAAACATCACTTCGCTTGGTATCTTGGTGGTTGTTGCGTTTGGTACTTTTCTAAAGCTATATCTAAGTTTATTTTATTATTACTTTACATATTCCTTTTCATGCTTATTTTCATATCTTATCATTCACTCACACTCACCATTGGACTGTTGGTGATGAGGCGCGGTGAGAATGTGTTCAATTCCATGATCTTAGCAAAATTTCTTGAATAAGTTACTTGTAAGGTTAGTACCATTATCACTGACTATTTTATTAGGTATACCTAATAAGCTGATTATTTTCATCAATTCTTTAATTGTTGACTCAGTGGTTGTTTCTCATTCTTATAGTGAATTTGCTAAGTGCGTCAACACATACCATAAAATTGCTATCTTCAAATCGCGCAAAGTCGATGTGCACGCGTTCGAATACTATTGTTGTTGTTCTTGTTTCCCAAGGGTTGTGTATATAATGAGGATTATCAGCATATTTATTACATGTATCACAATTTTTCACCTCCTGATCTATTTCAGCGTTTAAACCAGGCCACCACAATTAATCTCTCGCCAATTATTTTGTTTTCCCAGTACCAAGATGCCCTTTATGCAATTCTTGCAATATCTCCTTTCTCATATTTTTCGGTATTATGATCCTATTTTCTTTAAAAAGACAATCTTTAATTAAGCTCAGTTCCATCTCCATATTTTTATATATTTTATTCTTTATCTGTTTATGATTTTTCATATTGTTAATTACTTCCCTTAATTCTATATCAATACTAGTTTCTTGAACTCTTATATTGGTAAGTCCCAAAATTTGTCATCAATTGTTTCACCAACTATCTTTTGTACCATCTCTTCTGTGTTAATTTGGGGTAATTTTGTCAAACAATCCTCTACTACATTTTGTTTCCCGGTGTAGCGTGATTAATTAACTCCCCTTATCACATACCTCTGAGTTAAGTGATAACTATGATAGATTAACTCCCCCTTTGATAAATAGTGTTAAGGGGGGAGTTAATAAGTAACAAAGATATTAATTACAATGTAAATTGATAGGGAGAGTTATATGATCATGCAGTTTTTTTTAATATTGCTGAAATTCTTGTAAATTTGATTTTCGAATTTAAATTTTGAATCGAATTAAAAAAATTTTTATCTACTTGGTGAAATTAAACATCCTTTTTAAAAAG